TTTACGTTTTTCCCCCTCTTTTCTACAGCTGTAAACCAGCCTGTGTCATCCACTAAAGCACCGTTATCTGGCGGCTCTTCAGCCGCCAAAGCGTCCGCCATTTTGGCGTCTAATTACCTGCACAATAAAAAAACACGCACCTATTGAATAAATTAAGCAGACTCACCTGAAAACTTATCGTTTGGATTTAGAGCTTAGAGGGAGTAGTCCTCCGACAGTTCCCTCCGTATGTACAGCACCGTGGACTTAAAATGAATATTAAAAACCTGGAGACCACACCAGACACTCCCAGGTGCCCCCTGCGTTGTTCTCCACGTTGATTTGGTCCTTCTTGACCTCACCGCTTCCTCTGCACCAGACTTTCCTTTGCTTATATAATCTCCTTTTGACTTTTTTTTTAACTTTTCCTCAGTGCGATCCTCAGTAAAGATGAAACTGCTGGTGTATTGAGTTAAAGTTGAAATCTCAGAATTGAGCGCGTCCGTCTTCAACCAATGTCAGATCATGATGCAATAATAGGTGCGTTCGTTTAACATCTCCAGCAGAAACCAACCAACTGCCAAATTTCGGCGAAATGTCATCTGTTCTCTCACAAGAGAGAAATATCCAAAATAGTACGCGAACAGAAAATTTGCAGAAACTTGCAAGTTAGACGAACAGCTGATATAATTTTTGTTTACATACAAAAGTGTAAAATTTAAAACGTACGAAAAGTCATCGCAAAGTTGTATACTGACACAGTTTATTGATTAAACAAATAACTACTTATTTCTTACAAGTTTAATTAGTCGCATTTTGTAATTTTTATCTTCCAAACCATCAAATTCAATTTTGTGATTTGCGTAAATGCCAACCAGCTGTTTTTGATCAGCTGTTTTCCTGTTGGCAAATTGCTGTTGGCAAAAATTTTTCCAGCAGAAACCAGCAGCTTCCCCTCAAAATGAAATGTCAGTTTGCTCTCTCAATTTCCCCTACTTTGCAAGTTTTTTGCGTACGCGAACGCAAAAACTTGTAAGTTTTGGTTAAACATGAACAATTAACAGCTACGCGAACGCACCTAATACAAGGTGTTATCAGTTGGCAACTTCTCGCTCTAATTCCGCCATATTGACTACCTTACGTGAAACAGTGTTACTTCTTTCACTATTCTTTGCCCATTAATATAGTTGAATGCTTTTTATTTTTTCTCAGTATACACACTTTGTTTTCTTAAAAAGGTATTTTATCTTATTTTATTTCATTTCATAACGAATACACTATAAAAAAGCAAATTTTGTTAAGGAGAAAATGTGAAATTTTATATTTTTCCCCCATATGGGGATTCATTTCTTCCCGTTTTTCTTCTCATTCTACTGAGCTAAGGTGCGCCTACATGCTCGCTGTCGATTGCTACAGACGGCGAGCGACTCATAAGTGATTTTGTACTCAAAGCGTAAACATGGAAAGGAAAGACGCGGATGATGCAATTGAAATACTTATGACTTAGGGTTTTTTATGTATGTGTTACTTAAATTTATTTATATTTTACTTATATGTATGTACATACATATACATATAGTAATTTAGCCTCATTTATCAAAAATTCAATTAACGCACATAGCTTGGATGCATTTATCTGCGATGTGCACACTGCAAGCCAAGGCGTATTTAACAAGGTGGTGTTGGCCGTATATAAGTAAAAAATTACACTAACAAATTATACGCTGATGTCCATACTGTCATTGGTATGAGTTACAACAAACACATCATTTTGACGTAATGGCCTCCACGGCGAAAAACTCAGCTGTCGCCCCAACACCACCTTGTTTAATACACCTTGCTGCAAGCATCAACACAAAGTGAGGTTGTTGTTTTTGTTTCCAATGCGATGCTCGCAAACCACGCTACAAACGACGAGCATGCTCGCTGAAAATCAAAATTTTTTGATTTTTGGCGAGCATGCTCGCAAACCACCCTACAAACGACGAGCATGACCCGCAAGCCGCGCATGTGCGCGGATATGCTCGTCGTGTGTAGCTACTGTAACTATCTGCTAGAAAATAAAAGAAACAAAGCCATTTTTGCATTGCAACGTCTGACAGGCTGATTAGAATGAAACTTTGAAAGGCCGGCATCTGTTCTAATGTTGTGATGTGACGTGGAGGGCCGTCATTTTTCTTTTCTGATAATCCTGCTGGAAAGAAATCAAGTTTAAATCATCATGACGAATTTGGAGCAGTTCAATAGGAGACAATTTCTATGGAAAATTGCTTTAAGAATTATTCTATATGGCATTATACTATCACTCCCATCTCTATGTTTGGGTCACAGCAAAAACCCCAGCTTTAAATACTCGCGAGAGGCAAACGAAAATTTCGATACCAGAAAGGCTCCAGCTCCAGTGCACGATCACGGTGATCTCCATCATCATGATCATCACCCACGTTTACATGACGATCAAGAGCATGTTCACCATCATGAAAATCATCATTCGGAGCATCATAAACATGACCATCAGCAGCGCAAGCTTAAAGCTCCACAAGGTCAGAAATAAAATTAAATATACATTGAAAAATATATTGTTTTTTTTTTCAGATATGTCTAGTGTTTGGTTACACTCTATAGGATCTACGTTGCTAATTAGCGCCGCTCCTTTTGTTTTGCTTTATACAATTCGTTTAGATAATAGTGAAGCAATGAGACCTCGCCTGAAAATCATTTTAGCGTTTGCCTCCGGTGGATTATTGGGCGACGCTTTTCTACATCTAATACCACACTCGACTCATTCGCACGTTCATGGTGATGATCATCACACCCACTCACACAGTCATGGTCACGACGATGACCACGAAAATGGACATGATATGAAAGTTGGCCTATGGGTACTGGGCGGCATTATAGCATTCCTCGCTGTCGAAAAAACGGTACGGTTATTGAAAGGTGGTGAGCACGGGCACAACCATATTCACTCATCAACCAAAGTGCAAAAAGGAAAACCAACAAAAAAATCTGACCAAAAAACGAATGATAAAAAACCAGAAGAACGAAAAGTGAACCCGGTATCGAATAAAGATCAGAAGGAATCAAATGAGGTAAAAATTACGGGGTATCTGAATTTAGCGGCTGATTTCGCCCATAATTTCACTGATGGCTTGGCGATTGGTGCTTCCTATTTGGCTGGTAATAGTATTGGTGTGGTTACCACAATTACGATATTACTACACGAAGTTCCACACGAAATTGGTGACTTTGCCATCTTAATTAAGTCTGGTTGTACAAAACGTCAGGCAATGATGCTACAATTAGTCACTGCGCTCGGTGCTGTGGCTGGCACTGCACTCGCCTTACTAGGGGCTAGTGGTGATGATGGTTCTACAGCATGGGTCTTACCATTCACAGCAGGCGGCTTTATTTACATTGCTACTGTCAGTGTATTGCCCGAATTGTTGGAGGAATCTACCAAATTGGGTCAATCAATTAAGGAGATTGTAGCCATGCTTATAGGCGTGGGTCTGATGATTTTTATTGCCAAGTTAGAGTAAGAGTTATGTATATACGCTTATATAATACGCTTAGTAAGCCTTTAAATCGTTAAGCGTAAACTACAAATGTTTCTGGTCTACATTGAATTCTTATAAGTAAAGCTTTCGTAATTAAAATAACGAATACGGATTTTTTATTTGATTTTTGTATAAATTAATTCTTATTTGATTGAAAAATAGCTAGGTCGTATACATTTGCATCAAGTTTTTAAAAGATTTTGATTTTGATTTGTCTTATTGTATAAAAGTTTTAATCTCGTTCAGACAGTATTCAGCCTGTTCAACTGCGTCTACGTTCTTGCCCTTCTTACCAATGCGCCATGCTAGCGAACAGGCTTCCTTGGCTTTCATTATTAAACCTTCTCGCAAATAAATCAAACCCAAATTGGCTTGAAGAATACCTTCCTGTGCTGTGTCCTTCAGTTCTTTTACCAATTCCAAAGCATCCGTTAAATACTTCTTCGCCAGCTCGTATTCCTCTAGCTATTGATTAAAAAAAAATTATAATGTACGTATATTAAACGGCAATTTTCAAACAGGTAGCATTATCTAATTTTATTTATTTTTCTATATTTTGAGCTAGACCTTTAGCGATGTATCAGTGAAAATGCATTCAACTCCATGCATTTATTTTCGAGTGATGCGCGTACAACACAGACACAGTCAGACAAAAATTCTAAAAATTGTTGATTTGGCTTCTGTTGCTTCAATAAAGACCCCCAAATTAATTTTTCTTTATTACCTATAATGTACCGACATTGGCCTGTTACAATTTTATTATATGTATTAAGGGCCGATTTCATAATGAAACACTTACAGGTCAATTCTGCACGTTGCCGAAGATTTTGTAACCAGAAAACTTTATTACGAAAAAATTTTACCAGTTCTTGTCACCGCGATTCTAGGTACGTTGGTAACCCAGTTAAAATATTCAGCAATTCAGCTATGAAGAACTGGAAATTCTGGTATTGCATATTTCACGGGACAATACTTTGTTACCAGCTTATGAGATAGTAACCAAATTTACCGGTTACAAGAGCACACAGAATGCGAAAAGGGTTTACAAATTGACAGGAACTTTATTTACCGCTTACAAAATGTTTATTACCAGCGCAGAATAGACCTGTTACAGATGAGAATAGACCTGTTACAGTTAAAATATTCAGCAATTCAGCTATGAAGAATTGTGGAAATTCTGGCATTGCATATTTCACGAGGCAATACTTTGTTACCAGCTTATGAGATAGTAACAAAATTTACCGGTTACAAGAGTACACAGAATGCGAACAGGGTTTAAAAATGTACAGGAACTTTATTTACCGGTTACAAACAGGTCTATTCTGCGCTGTTAATAAACATTTTGTAACCGGTAAATAAAGAAAAGATCCTGTAAATTTTTAAACCCTTTTCGCATTCTGTGTACTCTTGTAACCGGTAAATTTTGTTACTATCTCATAAGCTGGTAACAAAATATTGCCCCGTGAAATATGTAATGCCAGAATTTCCACAATTCTTCATAGCTGAATTGCTGAATATTTTAACTGTAACAGGTCTATTCTCACCTGTAACAGATCTATTCTGCGCTGGTAATAAACATGCGTGGTCCAAAGTTATGCGGTAACATACATAAAAAATAAAAAATTAAAAAAAATATTCCGACGAACTGATAACCTCCTCCTTTTTTGGAAGTCGGTTAAAAATATTTTACTAAAAATGGATATTGCCTAGATGTACGTAGATCTGTCAGTGTTTTTTTTTCCCACCTACTAGAACTTGAAGGGAGATCTCCCTATGTGAGGAATAAAAGAGTACTCCCCTTAACCTGATTTCTGAGCAATAAGAGAGATTTGTCGGTTTTGTACTCCGTTATTACTCGCTTAGGAGCAAAAAGTGATGTCTCCTAAGCAGTGTTGCCGCGAAACATTTTTAGTGGTAGCTAAATTCCAGCTAAAAAAGGGCTAAAAAAGAGCTAAAAATCGTCGTTGTGGCTAAAAATGGTAGCTAAATTTTTTTACCTACATCTTATATATAAAAATAAGTGCACGTTTTTGGTGTGACCTCATAACTTGAAAACAGCTTCACCGAATTCAACCAAATTTATGTGGCATATTCGATTTATCATGCAGATGGTTTATGCGAAGTTTTCCCGAATTCGGAAGAGGGGGCGTGGCATCACCCATACTAACAAAATATAAAAATAAGTGAACGTTTTTGGTGTGACAATATAACTTAAGAACGGCTTCACCGAATTCAACCAAATTTATGCGGCATATTCGGGCCATCATGCAGATATTTTATGTGGAGTTTGCCCAAATTTGGAAAAGGGGCGTGGCATATGTATGTATCTTATGTATACAAATAAGTACACGTTTTTGGTGTGAGCTTATAACTTGAGAACGGCTTCACCGAATTCAACCAAATTTATACGGCATATTCAGGCTATCATGCATATGGTTTATGTGAAGTTTACCCGAATTCGTAAAAGGGGGTGTGGCACCTTCCATACTAACTAAAATTTTTTTGTTGTATATCTCTTGAAATATTTGTGGTAGAGTACTGGAAGTTGGTATAGAGGTATAACAAATAATTCCATACTCATGGATAAAAATGGGCAGTATTGGAAAAGAGGGCGTGGCACCTCACATCTTATATATAAAGAATAAGTGCAAGATTTCAACCAAATTTATACGGCATAGTCGGGCTATTATGCAGATGGTTTGTGTTAAGTTTCCCCGAATTCGGAAAAGGGGGCGTGGCACAGCCCACACTAACAAAAAATTTCATCTGGTATATCTCTTAAAATATTTGTGGTAGATTACTGGAATTGGTAGCTATACGTGGCCTGTTCAAGAGTTGGCATTCCAAATTGTTTATTTATTCATACCCAAGATGGAAAAACAAAAAATTTCGTATATCCAAATCTGTTGGATTAAGATTTAAAATAAAGAATCAAAAATTTTGAATATATTGAATATTTGGTGTAGAGAAGCACACCGGGGTACTGCTAGTATAAATATGTAAGTATACACGCAAACATTTTCTATAATTACTGGTATAGAAAAACCATGAACTCTAAAAAGAATTACTATTTTATTCAACAAAAAAACTTTTTGTGTAACACATAAAGCATATTAGGGGCCACCAACTTACCTATTTTAAAGTATAGTTAAATCGTTAACGGATAAGATAACGGCCTAGAAACGAAAGGAACATACATAGAAATATGTTTACTTGCCTTAAAGGAAAGGCGTTCGCTTTATGAGCGAAGAGTTAAATTCATGAAAATCATAAATGAATGTCAATGATGAATAAATTTTGAAAAGGGCTAAAAAAAGGGCTAGGGGCAATTTCAAATTTTTGTGGCCAAAAAAAGAATTTGGTAGCCAAATTTAGCCACCAAAGGGCTAAAACGGCAACACTGCTCCTAAGCGAGAAATCCAAGAGTATTATTTTTGGTTGATAGGAGAGCAATACGCACCTCGCTCAAAAGAAATTTGTGTTTTCGAAAAAATTTATCATACAAAAAAAAACAACAGAAAATATTTCTTATAGAAGCATAAGGACACAAAAATTTAATTTGGATAGCACACAGATTTTAATAAAAGTCCTTTGGTATGTACTTCAACTTTTGTTTAAATATATTAAGTATGTATTGTATTACTTATAAATGTACCGTTAAATACTTTTCAGATTGCGCAAATTAGTGACAGCATTTTAGTGTGACCCCCGGGTTTAAACATCGCATGGGTGACAAGGATGTCAGATAAACAAAGTCACCTTCACAATTTCCCCGCTTGGCGGATTCCTGAACAGGCAAACATCCTTGACACCCATGAAATCATATAACAGTGCATACTTACATATATGTGCATATAGGTGCATATAATTCAAATCTTATCTTACCGTTTTGTTATTATTATGTTTTAATTTCATATGATTTTTCTGCAATATAATTCAAAAATTAAGCAATTATGTAAGACGTATCATTTATGTTTTATTTTTAAGGTCTTGTAATATTGCACAAATGCACGTGATTAAAAAGTTAAATAAAAAAATTTAATAAATAGCAAAATCTATTTGGCTAATGTAAAATGTTCGTTATCATTGCTCTCTTATTACTCCTACAGGAGGCTTTCGGGATGTATCTAATGGGAGCACTCCTTTATTGCTCGTTCGGGAGGAATATGGGATGTTTTCTATGTGCACTCCCTTGTTGTCTTTTTGGGAGGTAACTATGGAAGTACTCCCGTATTGCTCTATTAGGAGGTTTGTGGGATGTTAATTCTGTGTGATCCCCGATTGCTCGTTTAGGAGGTAAAAGGGATTACTCCCCCTCCTAGGACATCCAATGTTAAAGGGAGTATACAAAATTACATGCTTATACACAGAAGCATAGGGAGCAATGGGGAGTATTCGTATACTCCCAAGGGAGTACTCACCGAACAATCGTACGATGCTCCCAAGTTCTACTGGGCAGTTTATTAGTTTTGATTTCCTAATCTTAAAATAATATACTTATATAATACTTACATTGACACATGCCACACTAAGATTATTCAATATTGTTACAGCCTCTTCATTTACTCGTCCGTATACCTCGACTAGAGCATCATAAGCCTCCTGAAAAGAGTTTTTTGCATCAGCATACTTGCCTAACTTCATTTGCAATTGGCCGAACCTAGAAAGGTAACAACAAGAATGTTACAACAACATCGGATATTTAAAGCTTTGGCAGTACCAATTTTTTGTAAGTCCTAGCAATTCTAGTATGTCCTTGTCACTTGGATCTTTTTTCAAATGCTCTTCAATGCGCTGTAACGTCCACGTAAATCCTTGCAGTGCTTTATCCAGTTCACCTTGTAGTTGGGCCATGTGTGCCAGTTTCGCACTAATATGCATTATCTAAAATAGATCTTACTAATTCACTACTTAATGAAATGTACAATACATGATTAACTAAATGATGTATAAAATGAAAATTACCTGTGCGCTATCCTTTGAGTAGCCATCATTAAATAATCGTCGCATGACATCAACAAACAGTTTTTCTGCTTTTTTGTATTGCTCTTGTTCCATAGCTAGATTCGCCATAAGATCATAAATATAGGTTATACCTTCTTTGCTCTGTAAGTCTTGCGCCATCCTTAACGCCAAGTGGAGCATCTGTTCTGCCTTATCGAATTCTTGTCGTTGTATGCATAACACTGATCTTTTGATGGTGGTAACCAATTTATCTTCAGGCGACTCTTCGTCTTTAGAATTACCAAAAAATCCGAAGGAGAAAACACCACTAACAATGACACTAACCTTTCCTGGAGCCAAGTAACCCGACCATTTGTGGTTATTCTGATGGCCTTCATCATTGCTTGAGTCTCTGTTTAAACGTGTGATTTCATGTTTCCGTTGATCCTGATTTTCTTTTATATTTATAGGGACAATTCGGAGGTAAGGAAAGCTTAGTGTTTGTACCTTAAGGTTCTGACGCAATTTCAGCACTCTCAAATTTCTACCCAAAAATCGCGAGATACTGAAAAAAATTACCAAGTTCATTTTTAAATAAATAAATAAATAATTTTCTTATAATCAGCTGTTTCACAATGGTTAAGTGGCTGCTAAGAGCGTGTCTGGCCTGGCCAAGGCGAATTAATATAAGGTGATAGCAGGAGTACAAAAACAAAAATTTACATGTATTTGGTTTTTGCTTTCCCTGCAAACCATTTTTTCACAGTATTCTGCATTGTAAAGAAATTTTAAAGAATTCGTTAAGATTTAATTCGATTTTTTGCCGAATTTTCTAAAATTAAATAAATTACGCACACTTCCATTCGTTTACGAAATTTCGGAAGAAAATCTGAAGGAACGAAAATAATTTCTTTACGAGTTCGTGTCAACCCCTTCATATATTTTTCTTTGAAAATTCGTAAAAAAAATCGTTACAGAAATTAGACTCCTAACGATTTCCTTAAAAGTGTGTTTGCATTGTTCAACTTTGCGTTCAACTCAGCGCAGGGTTGCACGAAAAAAAAGTTGAATGGCTAAAAATATCAAAATATGAAAAAATATCAAAATATTCGCCATAAAAAGGTGTTTGCATTGTTCAACTTTGCATTCAACTTTTGGTTGAATGGCCTTTCAACTAATCGCTTTCAACAAAGTTGGTCGCCAGCCAACATTTAGCCATTTAACTTTTTTTTCGTGCAACCCTGCGTTGAGTTGAACGCAATTGTTGAACGCAAAGTTGAATAATGCAAACACTTTTCGGGAACTTTGGTTTGCAGGGCTGGCGGCATAAACTGTCAAAATCTGTAAGAGTGTATGAGAGTGTGTGTAGAAATTCGAACAAAATTTTTCAATTTGATATCAGAAGCCGTACGGCGAAACACATATACAAAATCAGCTTAGCTAGTAACACCACCTTGGACGTGGCAATGCAATACATTTCGATAATAGGGCTTTCGCACGCGGCGATTTTACAGGCAACTTTTGCGTTCAACTCACGCAGGATGAATGGCTAAAAATATCAAAATACAAAAAAATATCAAATTTTCGCCATAAAAAGGCGTTTGCATTATTCAACTTTGCATTCTGCTTTTGGTTTAACGGCCTTTCAACTAATCGCTTTCAACAAAGTTGGTCGCCAGCCAACATTTAGCCATTCAACTTCTTTTCGTGCAACCCTGCGTGAGTTGAAAGCAAAAGTTGAACGCAAAATCGCCTCATGCGAACACCTTTTAAGGCAGTCACGCCTTGCACGTAAAGTGTCTTTTGAAAGAGATTTTTTCTCAGTATATCCAGTAAACAAACATGGCTATTTTTTCCACCAAAATTTAGGTCGGTGTTATGCAGACAAATTTTGTTTGCCAAATTAAATGGCGGCTGCTTAGTTTGCTCCGAGGTGGTTATGTCGAGTTTGGCACAAGGTTGCACGTTCATTATGGTTTTCATGGCTATTGCCAACACGAAATGAGAATTTTGTGTATAGCAACAATTGTCTAAAATTTTTGTATATGCTACAACAACAATTGCACGCAGTTTGCCTAACAAAATTTCTGCATAACACCGACCCAAGAATGATACAAGATTGCGCCGTCCTGGGCGTTGACATTTGTGTACCACAAGTAAACAAAGAATAGAGCGAAAAGAAGAACGAGTAGAAACAGCCAAAGCAGTTCACTTTACTGCGAAAAACGTGTTTTAATTTTGCTAAATGCGAAAATATTGCATTTTTCATCTAATTTATTAGAGAACAGTGAACATTGTAGTGCACTCCATTGCTTTGCAATTGAGGCTGCTTCAGCAAACGTTTTAGTGCACTCCATTGCTTTGCAATTAAGGCAGCTGCAGAAAACTGCAGCAGCATCTCTGCGGGACTGATTAGTTAACTTGCTAATGGAGGCTGCGTGGAGCAGAAACAAAATCATTGTGAGGAAATGCTGTTAATATAATAATAGAGAAACATTTCGGGAACGGCTTTGCCTTGCCCTATGTACACAAAATGCAGCGATTCGTCCCATTTGCTACATTTGCATCTACGCTTCTTGCATCTTTACGGTTGTCGCAATTTAACACACAGCACTTCATTGTATTAGTTTTTACGCAGTCTTCAACTTAAAAATCACTCACAAATTGCAAATTAACAAAGTCCCCATAAAGGACTAGTGTTGCAAGCAATGCTTTTTCGGCCATAAGGGTGTTGTGCAGCAATTTTATGTAGTGAAAATTAGTTTAGCACTGCCATAATGGATAACAAATATTGCAGTGCGCTTGAACATCTCAGGTTTAACTGAAATATATATGTATTAAGAGTATTTATTTAACTAATACATACCCAATTTTTTTTATTTTACTGTGTCGAAGTCGTTGCACAAATATTTGTAATTTATAGGGCTTTCGCAGCAGGCGATTTTTCAGGCAACTTTTAGTTGAAATCAAAAATCGCCTCGTCCGAACGGCTTTTTTTCCTTGCAACCCTGTGTTTGTTTACATTCTGTATCAGTGTTGGGATATGAAATTGTTCCTTCAGAAAGAAATCTATACAAAAAATGTAATTGTATACACTTTTTAATTCGCTCATATATTTTCTTAGTACATTCCCTTCAAGACCAATGATTTTATGGTATTCATGAGACAGTTTTATTGTTTATGTACATACGTTTACGTATTTTACACTTTTACAAATTGAATCCACGTGCACATGTATTGCATTTAACGCAAATATGTATGCACACATTTTCAGGTATACATCTTAACAAAAAGCATATTTAAGTTATTATTAATGGATAAAAGAGACATTTTCTTTGGATTCAGTACTAAAATTTGACATTTTAATAGCATTTCAAGTGCTTATCAAAACTTTACGAGAAGATTTGACCATTTATCTTAATTGTATTCAATTTTAATTATTTTTTGTAAAAATACGCTTTATATTTTAAGAAAAGCCGTACAAATCCAAGGTTCAAACTTTGTGCAACATTAAAAAAACCAACACACTTTCGTAAAAATTTCGAGCTTTTTAATTCGATTTCCTAGATCTATTTTGAGTGTGTGATGTTTTAGCCCATTAAACTTTAATATAACTAAGTTTTTTAAGATTTCTTTGATGAAGGTGTTGCTAATTTCCTCCATATATAAAAATCGTCGAACACACTTCGTATGGAAGAAAATGGCTGACAACGTCGACAAAACAAAATTGCCAAGTTCAACGGTAAGTCCCAGCTACTTTAAACTTGCACTTTATTTTACTAAAATTGAATGGGCTAAAAACTAATGAATATTAATAAAGCTCGAAATTTTTACGACAGTATGTTAATTTTTGGATGTTTCGCAAAGATTTAATCTTGGGTTTATACAGTTTTTCTTAAAGAATACATTATAGTTTATAAACAGATAATTAAAATTATAGAATAATAAAATAAATAGTAACACCTTGTCAATATGTGAATGCCGTAAAGGTATTATATTTAAGAAAATCTCTTCTTATAACTAACGGAGACTTTGTTTCTATATGAAGCTGACTTCGACATTTTGTTTTAATAAAACTTAGTATCGAAAAGTTTCTTTAAAAATTTGCCTAGGCTATGTTATACTGGTTCGTTCAAGCCATTTTTCAAAACTTACAAAGGTAAATACGAACAGGCGAACTGTGGGGTACTGTTTATGAATTTGTACAACGATTTTGGGTTGCTGTGCCCAAACGCGTGAATCGAATCAAAAAACTTTTACACACACTTGTAGACAACAGTTCACGCTTTATTACAAAAATTTAATTTACTAAATCTGTGCACTAATTTAACAATAATGTCGGTTGGAAATATGGTATTTGTTGCAAATTTTTGTAATAAATTTGTATATATATTTTTATATACAAGATATTTTTATAAAACACCAAAATAGACATCACTGGGGCGGCAGCCCCAGGTTTACCACACAGAAAGGGAATTCTAGTTACCTCATCCTTTCCCAAGGGTACATCACTGGGGCGGTAGCCCCAGTTATGTCACACAGAAAGTAGAATTCTACGTAGTAAGGGTTATAATTCCTAAGCGCGGCCGAAGGCCGCCTACGCAGAAAGGTGTTCTCTGCAAAAGGTGTTCAGCCCCCCTTCTTCGGACGCAAGTTTAACTTTGTTTTTTCCTTGCAAAAACTCTAAAATTCCCCTATTTTCAAACAGCTCCCCAGAGGTCTGTGGGAGAAGTTGGGTGGAGAGGGGTGACTTTTCATAAAGCGGCGTTAATCCTCTTTCGTTTAGGGGATTTGTGGGAACAACACTGTTCTGTATACATACTTTTTTTTCTTTTTTACTTTTTTACTCTTATTTTATCTTTCAGCTTCGCTAAAAGCACTTCTACCAACGCTTGGCTTACCAAATTTACGCCAATTGATACAAATTTGCGATTTAAATTCATTTTCAATAATGTAAATAACGATTCGTGTTGAATCCAAAATCGCCTCGTCTGAATAGGGATGGCAACTTTTTCACTTTCAACTTCTCACTCAACTACGTATTCAACTTTTGTTGTCTGTGAAATCGCAGCGTGCGAATGCCCTATAAGTATTTAAGTTAATTCGGAAATATATTGAATGCACAAATTAAATTGTGGGAGCGATTTATTCACATAGAATTGGAAATAGGGCTGATGATATACTTTAAATCAATTGAGAATCTGCGAAAATAACTTTTCAGCATATTTCTTAACTTTTCCCGAAAATTTACGTACAGGCTCGAAATTATGCCAGTACCATTCGAATATCGTCGTTTGGATGGAAAATTTCCGTAAGCGTCATTTTGACAGTTTTTAGTTAAAGATGCAGTTATATATTTTAAAATAAGATATTTCGATTTTTTGTTAACAGTTTTTTGGATATCTTCTTTAGTTTCCGAGTAAATAACCACAATGTTTTCGGTTATTTGGTACAAATTACGTTAGTAATGCCAAAGAACGCAGAAGGGACAACTTGTTATAATTGCAGCGAAAGTGAGTAACAGGGGCAAGCCTTCTCTTTTGCCCTAGTACGACAACAAACACATCACTTTGATATTAGGAAGTACTGCGGCGAAAATCTAAAATCGCCATCAACACCATCTTGTATAAATTCGCCTTGGCAATATATTGCGATAAGGCAGTCACGCCCACGATCCAGAAAATAAAGGTCGCGCCATTCGCGGACCGCTAACCCTCTCTTCGTCGATTTGACAGCATCCACCTAATCGCTGACGTCATAAAATACTTTTGTTTACATTCCCTGTTGCCAACTTCATGCTTTTCGCACCAAATTTAGTGGGTATTCAAAACGCGAAAAATTTTGAGTT